AGAGGTTTTCTGTTAAGGCACAGTTAGAACTGTTTAGATGTGTCTATCAATCATCCAGTCTTTCACCAGTAAGTGTGGATTCCAACTACAACACAGATACCTGCAGTTGTCTGGGGAGAACCTGTCCCAGGCAACCAAGAAGGTGCTGTTAGCTTTTAGGTAGTAAATTCAAGAAAGTCTTTCCGTGGCAGCTTTTTTCCAACCCAGCTTTTTTCCAACTTTTTCTCAGTCCTGCATAAAGTACGTGTCTCTTCTATGTCCACTCTTCTCCCCAGACATCAGTCTTGGGAGAAGGAAGCAAACATGTCTCATTCTCCTAGTCTTTGTGTCCCAGCACAGTAGTCTTTGAAGAGTATCAAGTCCCCCTCAGCTATTCAATAAATGGGCAAAACGTGTTGTATGAAAGGCGGTAGTTCCCAGAAGGCACCAAAGTGGCCTTCAATATCCAGTTTAGAAGTTAGATGGTATTTGGCCACTAGAAGGCCACAAAATCCAGCTGGCTTTCTAGTGTTAGCTTAAGGGGGTTTACCTGGCCATATCACCATTTTGGAACGCCTTGGTAGCTCCTAGGTTCTTTATATAACTGCAGTAATGACAACGTTACAGTACTTTGGTATTTCGCAAGGATGCACAAGGACGCATTAGGCCCAGTCCCTTTTTCTGTATCATCTATGGCAAGAGTGTGTGGCCTGTCTGTAACGGAACAGATTTGGGTATGTGTGGCTCTCTTGAGAGTGCTACTGTGGTGTCTTTAATTCATCTTTGGAGATGGTAGAGTGAGATTTCCTTCTTGGTCAAAGTAGTGATTCAGATGACTGAGATATGTAGTCAGTGTCATCAAGTGATTTGCGAATGTTGATAGATACTGGAGGGACAGAGGAGCACAAATTAATTATACAGTTTCTGGCTTACAGAAGGAGGCTTAGTTTTGGAAGCAGTAAACCTGCAGTAGATTTAGGCCTAGTTTGGTCAGTGAATAAAAGAAAGGTGGCATTTGCCAGATGACTTATTAAGTACTTACAGAGATAAACATTTCTGTTAGAAAAATTGATATGAAAGGATTGATAAATACAACAGCAGTGTCTGACCTGTAAGCAGACGACAGGCAAGGCAAAGGAGGGGAGCCCACATTGGAAAGTTATCTGAGAACCTCTTTGTTTTGTGGTGCTTGGTGAATTTTTGGTGGTAGTGGCTTTTGTTTCCTTGGGCCACCATTAATATTTTTCGTGAATTCATATTCAGTGCAACCTAACCCAAAGAAAGTACTGGATTCTTATGTGAGAGGAAACTGAAATTCAATTTACAAATCCACTCTTGCAGTATCCATGGACCTCTTGCAAGTAAGTGACTGTCAAATGCTACTGATTAAAAATTTCAAGCATTAGCCTCGCAGGATTCTTTTCCACACAATTTTGACACATAACCTCCCCATGATGTTGTTATGCTCTAAATGTATTCTAAAATCTTATCTAAAGCCCTCAAACTTTAATAAAGATGTTGAGCTTTCACAGAAGGAAAACACATTCAGCACATTCCTCAGATATTGTGTCTGTAACAGTGGAAGTATTTTTCAAACAACATGTGTGCCATGTCATGAATTTAATGGAAAATTGGGGTTTGCATCATATGTGTTCTTATCAATATGGAACAGAAGTGACACTATTTGTCAGACTTGGGTCCTTTTGGCCTGCTTTACTCATCTCTAGCTCAGCTGACAGTATTAATTATAATCAGACGACACTTACTCACATCTTTTAAAATTATGTATTCATTGCGTAACAGAAGCTGACCTAATAATTTCTTCTAGTTAAAAATGCTACATAGGTGAAGCACGAGTGCTAAGACTAGGAAATACTGTTACACTCAGAGAGGGGCTCCTGTAACAAAGTTTGGATGGGAAACTGCTTCAGATAATGTTGTTAAGGCTTGGTTTCTTTATAAAAGCAGCAGCCAGCCATAACAAATGATTTTCAAGTTATATTGTTTTGGTATATACAATTGCAAGAAAGAAACAGAATGTTCTTTGTGGTTTTTCCATTTATGTTTAGCCTCATAGGTTTACCAAGTTGGTATTAAAGAACTACTTTTAACAATTTTTATGACCTATTCTTGAACCTAGTTCTTGAACTAGACACTTATATACATTGTAGTGTGGCTGGCTTTAAACAAGCTTTTGATCTTCTTTATGGTGTTTGTGAAGTATACTGCACTTAGTTGTCAGTATAATAAAAGCATTTTTGTGTATGTACTTGGTCAAACTTGCATTATCGCAGTTGTGCACTAGCTATTTTCTAGCCTTTTCTTTAGCTGTAGCAGTATGTTCATCCATACATCTATCTGATGTTCCTTGGAAGATTGAGCTAAATAAGAATGCATAGAGCTGAAAAAGATAAGCTGGCTTCTAACAAGGATCCTTTCTTATTAGTAAAGCAGTGATGTATCTTTGAGGAAGCTGACCATACCAAACTAACATCCTTCACTCTTCTGGTACTTGGGGAAGAGTGATCAGTGATGTCTATCATTTCAAGTGGAAACACACGTTTCCTTACTTTCTGCCTTGGTTCTCAAGATTTCCTAGACTTACCTTTAAATCACTGGTCCATCCATTTTTTGTCCTTGAGTAAAAGTGACCTTTCTGTCTGGAGAGACAGGAGTGAGTATGGAGGATGCAAAATGCCATTAAATAGCCACAAAAGTTGTGGCTTGTGCTTGTGAAGTGTTGAGGAAGTTCAGATGCTGCCTGTCTCACAGGTGATTCAAGTTCTTCATTGCTACTGAATTTTGGAGACTTTGTAGTCAGATGAATTGAAGTCTCCACTTTGATAATTTTCTCTTTGTAAGGTAGTATCCTGAAGAATCAAGATATAGTATTGAATGTTCACATGTCTTTAGTTATTTAAAACGTGGTGCAGAAGAACGTAATTTTTTTTCAAGTGTATATTTGCCAATTGCCTCAAATAGACATGGAGAAGAATGCAGCATTAGGTGTAATTCCTGCTCTATAAACCAAAGCCTGACGAGTCTGTTTCACTGAAGTTTCCCGTGTTCAGTCCATGGGCGTTCTGGTTCTATGAGAATTGTGGAGGGTGTTGAAGAGGAGGGGCAGGTATTTCAGCTTCACTCAATTGCAGTCAGTTCCTAATCACTGACAGGCAGTTTCTTCATCAGGAGAGGTGCCCGTTCTTAATATGGAACAACACCATAACTTTGGGCAAAAGCTTTTCAGAGGAGCTCTGAAATGTTGCCGTACCCGTTCCTGAACATTTGGCCTGAAGTTCGTTTCTGGGTTTGAGTGTCATTTTTCAAATTCCATGAAGTTTGGTGACCAAAACTGAAGTCTGCAAAATCACTAGTTACTATTAACATCGTTGCCCATTTACTATGCCTAAATTTATCTAGATTGGCCTCACTGGCTCTAGTCATTTGCTGTATCCAGTGATTAAATTACATTATTTAATGTGAAATGCAGAAATAATCCATGGTAGTAGGAAGTAAGACCACAACACCTTTCTTTCCCATCCACCATCCCCTCCACTTTATAGACTGTTTGCTGTGAAGCTGCAGCTTATCCTGGTTAACATGCTCTATGTCCAGCACAGTTACTACCAAGTTTCTCCATATGCAGGATGCAGGTTCACCAAGAAGAGGTGAAGGGTGTCCAGTTGTCATGTGGCACAGTGGTTAAAGCATTATCCTGAAGGGTGGAAACTGAATGTTTGTGTTTCACAATCTAAGATCCTCCCGAGTGCTTTTAAAATGGAAGGCTAAGTGAGAGAGGCTCTATTCGTGTCCTACTCTTTGTAAAATTCATTTATTCTCAGAGTTTTCACTCAAGGTAGGAAAGGGTGCATATAAATGGGTGCCTTTCCTCTGAACTCTGATAATAGCTTTGAGCAGTGTGAAGGTACTATTTGTTCAATAAAATCTCCCATAACAAATGTATTTTAAGGGTTCATTAATGCTCTGGATTAAAGGAAGGATTATTATTATTGTTTAGGCCTTTGAAATATTAGAAAACCACCAGGCAGTTGTGTATATTATGTATCTTTAGCTATGGGGAGTATCGGGACAGACACAGCAGTGAAGTCATGCAAATGAAGGCTGAGGAATGCCAACAGCATGCCATGTGTGGGCAGCTGCCATTACCCTCTGCCTCAGCTAAGCCTGGTTCTGTCTAGTGTTGTCAGTATCTTTCAAATATAAAAATTCAGCAGATTTTCCTACATGTTTTTGTTTTTATTATTATTATTATTATTCTGGAAAAAGGAAATAGAGCTAAGTTCCAAAAAGCCACAGAAAATATTATGCAACCCAGTGAAATCCAAGTCACCTGTAATAAATTTTTTCATAGTTTTAAAAGCCGTGTAAACAGTAATGAAGTCTTGGCTTGCCAACCAGCATGTTGCAATTGTTGGAAGCCAAGGTGTTACAGACCTTCAGAAGTATGTCTGTGAAGTCCAGTAGATGTAAATAGAGTACAGTATGATCTCATATCATCATGCAAGCAAACTTTCAATTTTGATTCTTCTCTCAGAAGTGCTTAAAGAAGAATTTGAGAGGAAAATAAAAGAAATGAGAGAGCTTATTCTCTATGTATACTGATTGGAGTATTTAACTGTAATTTAAAGTCTGAAGAAACCAATGGAAAAACAAGATCGTGCCGTGGCTCAAGCTTAACAACACACATAGCATCATACTGTGATTCGCTGAGTGTTGGGCTCTTTAGTTCCCTTTTATGAAAAACATCAAATGTCTACCAGACTGGCATTTCTGCTGTGACATTCATCTGCAGTTCTTGTCCCTTTCCTTCTCTAAGTGCAATGTTACTATACCTCTTCTGATCTGTCTTTGTGATCTCCTGTTGTCACTATAAATGCTCATTATAAATATACTGTGCTGAGAAATTAGGTCATATGACAGTAGCTTTTTATTTTGTTACTGACAGTTTACAACATCGACAAAACATATCCTTTACTGTGCCTATTTTTCAACTTTGCTAGATTTCACAAGGAGCATCCCTAAACGATTTACAGAAAAAGAAGAGGCGTGCCCCTCTTCCACCAACTGCATCTGCTCCACCCACTCCGGCCATGCCAAACAGGACAGAAGACAGGGAAGACAAGAGGAAGAGCACAATGGGTGAGAGGCGTTCTTCTGTCCTGTGTAATCCTGTGCATGTGCTTTCCGTGCTCACTGTTCAGTTTCCTTAATTCTGTTATGCTGTAAGTTTGGAAACTTTTGTAACCTGAGGGAAAAAACCACATTTCTCTGCAGAGTGAAAGTCTGGAAACGAGTGTTTGTATACTACCTCTTTTTTTTAATGTCACCATTCAGACTACCATAAGGTAGTAAAAGATGGGTAACACTCATCAGGTGATTTGAATGTTTGGTACAAGATGGATATCCAAAAGCACTAGCCCTGGGTTATTCTGTGTCTTTAAGGTCATGGTGGTTTTGTTAGTAAATGGTAATATGGAAATAGTAAATGGAAATGCTGGTAAATGGAGGACAGGCCAGGGAGTACTGAATGCATTTGAAGCCATGGGGTTCTGCTAGAACTGAAGTACAGTCAAGCTGGGTCAGTATCTTTTCATGCTCCTACAGCCTGAAGACGTTTTCTTTTCCTGTAGTCCTCCAACAGTTTGACATCAACTCAGCCTTAGTAAAGTTTTTCTTTTGAATTTAGTCCTCACTTTTATTATAAATCAATCTCTGCTGAGTCTTTACCTGATCAGTAGAAGAAAAGAGCTGGTGCCTCAAAGGAATGCCATAATAGCTGGAGACAACAAAAGAAACTGTAGCCTTCATTTACTTACATTTAGCCTTACATTACACCACATTTACTCTCATACAGGAAGACTGAAAAACGTTCTCCCAGACCTCTGTCGTTATCTGACTGCTAGCTTATTCACATCGGTGGGAGCTTTGCCCAAGTGAGGACCCCAAGATTACGCTTTTAGCAAACAAAGTGATTTTATGATGGGTAAAGATATAAGATAATAACCCCACATATTGGAACTCATTTTTCAGTACATTAAGAGAATCATTCTTCAAGTGCCGTAATGCACTCAGTGCACTTCAATTTGTGCCTTTGACCTCATGTTTCATAAAGTGCCTAAGATACACAGATATGACGTCCTGTCATACATAATTGCTTACATTACAAATGCCTCACAGTTTAGAAAGAAACCTCTTGGCTTTGTTCCAGCATTTATTTTCAGTAAATGCTTCACATCTAATGCCTCAGCATTTATGTAGCAGCAGGAGTCCATTATCTTGTGACATGTACGACTCCATTGACATCTCTTGTTTAAACCCTCTAAGGGGAACATTATCGCTGTGCCATATAACACAGGAGTTTTCAGCAAATTAGCTTACTTTTAACCATTGCAAATGTCACGGTCTGTCATTCCTCGTGCTTTGCCCTACTGCTGGTCACTTACTGATGACATTTGGTGCTTTAACTTTTTATAAGTGTTCATTTTATTTTGTATCACCGCTTGGGATGTTACAAATGAAATAAAGCAGAGCAGAGCCACTTCTAGTCCGTTCAGTTCTGTGTACATAAGGGCTTGCTGGCCAGACTCTGCTGATGTAGGATTCTGCGGTATCGTTTACTTTAATGGAGCCTTATTATTTTACACTGACAAAGAACTTGTCCCACAGTAGCCCTGTCTTCAGTGCTTTTCATTTTCTGCTACTTTTCTTGAATGAATGCGTTCATTAACACGAAAAAATGTTACAGCAAGGAAAGGTTGGTAAAATAGCCTCTCTTCGGAGCCCTTGCAAGAGAACGATGAGAATGCACAGATGGCTCTGAAAGCAAGAGAGAAAAGCTGTGAAAAAAGCAAGACTGTACTGAGGGGAAAAACATGCTGCAAGAAATAGGCAGACACATGATGGAAAAAGGATTAAAGCTGTCTATGTATCTCCCAAGTTAGCCACATGAATCAAAGTTATCAAAAATATTCTCAAACTGGCAAATTCACTCCGGTATTCAGTATTGAATCACTTGCTGTGACCCCAAAGTATCGTGTCCAGTTTTCTCAAAGCAGTAAAAAAGGGTCTGCACTTTTGCCAGCATTAAATTGTGTCTTGAATCTCTGAAAGCTAGTGCCTCTTAAGTAGAAAATCATAATGGTTTAATCTTTTTTTCCCTCCCTCTCGGTGCTACTTCCTTTCTCAGCAGCACCAGAGCATGAGCCGAGGAGTATAGGAATGATCAGAACGGATCAGACCAGAGGTCCGTCTCTGCCAAAATCTGTCCTCAGCAATGACCACAGCAGATGCTTAAGGCAGGGTATGAGAGCCAAATGAGCAGGTAGTCGTGGTTCCTCAGTGCACTTTCAGCCTCTAAGGACTTTCCAAGTTGCAGCAGCTCCTGGTCTGCACACTACAAACTGGCAGCAGCTTTTTAACATTGCAAATGGTTAATAGAGTATAGTGCAAAGTTGCACATATTTATTTAGTTATTGCACATAATATTGAAATAAGCCCCCAGCCAAAATTATGAGCATTTCCTTTGGTAGCTTAAAACACTGTTTTGCAAAAAAACAACTTAATCATCTGCTTCTCCACAATGTCAAAATAATAAAAAACCTACTCAGAAAAAGAAAAGAAAAGCCTGTCAAGATACTTACTTCAAAATACCGACCTGAGGCATCTTCCTCTTTCTCTCAAAGCATCAGGAAAATAGTCACGTAAAGTATTGTAGAGGTCAACAAATTCAGGCAGTTTGGCACCTAGGAAGATAAAAATAAAACACATTTTTCACTTTTCCTTACATAGCTTTTTTAAATGTATATTTTTAATGAATTTTTTTTTTCTCTTTACTTGCGTCTGCCAAAACTGGAGAATTTAACTCTTAGTTGTGACGTACATGTATGTGCTGGGATCAATTCTGGTCCCATTGCTGTTGGTTTAAGAGAAACCTAGCTTGTCCTTCCCCCTTAATTATTTGGGGGTAGATAAGAGCAGAATTAGATCCAGAGAGGCTTTGGATGCAGGTAAGGGAAAATCAATGTGTGTTTAAAAAATAGCAATAAACGGAGCAATCGTTATCTTGCAATGAAGTAACTAGTCAATTGATCCCCCTGTAGGTGATGGACGGCAGGTGCCACAAAAGCCTCCTAGAGGCTCCACTCGTGGTCCACCCCAGTTAGTGATACCCCCGCCCCCACCTTACCCTCCTCCTGACAGAGACATTGTGGATCCAACAGTCTGTTACAGAGAAGCAGATGTTACAGCACCAACAGAGCTGGTACCTAAACGTATGTTTAAAAATATATGTATTTTCATTTCCGCTCCTTTGATGATTACTCTCAAGGGTATCTTTTCCAGACTTTCCTCTCTGCTCTCTAGACATATATGTCTGTTTTTTCCCTTTTTTCCAGCCTGTTGTCTTTTAAAATGCCCAATGCAGTGTAACGAATTAACACAAAGTAAACAAAACACTTGTTTGGAGACAGTTTTGCAGATGATACCTGGCCATTGTATAGAAACATTTAAAAACAACCATTAAACATTGTGGCTTTGTGCAGCTGGAAGCAAAAATCTGTTGTCTTGTATTAATGCTCTATGTTTGTTTTTCTGTACTAACATTTCTTCTGTCTCTCCAGAGACAAGTTCCTGTGAGAGTCAATAGATCTGTCAGTCCAGGTTGAAAACTGAAGGGTGTCTCCCTTAGGAAAATTAAACCATTTACAGCTGTATATTGTTCAAGGTTTTCCTGTCTTAATGGGTACATCTTCCTTGCCATCTCTGGATAGTGCTTTTCTCCTTGGGGTATAACAGTTATCAGACAAAGAAATACAATATTTTCCACATCCTTGTGTATTTGTGAAAAGCATGTTTTCATGCTACTTTTTAATGCTTATCCATCAACTGTCTTTAAATCTTTGTACACAATCCAAGTCTTTGATCATGTATTATGTTCCCTGTGGGCTTGCCCTGCACGCCCATGTAGATCCTGTAAAGGCAGCAAAGCTCTGCACGTTATGGCATCCACGTTATGGACACACTTCCTTTGAAGGTTAGGAGGGTGTCTCCTAACCGTTCTTTATCAAAATTGTTCTGAAGGTGGTAGTTACTCTGATACATTAACGTTAGTGTGTTTGCTATTGGATACCAGCTAAATCTAAAGCATTATGTTTCACATCTGTGCTGAGGAAATAGAGATTGACAAGTTTTATTGGGGGGGAGAGAAGGAAATTAAGGACATCCATGCTAACAGAAAACCTGAATCTTACTGAGGATTAACCCTAATTCGTTTTTACAAGCATATTCACAGAAATTGTTATCATACTTAGAATCTTTTTTTTTTGTTGCTAGATACCATCAACTTGAACAGAAATTGTTATCATACTTACAATCTTTTTTTTTTTGTTGCTAGATACCATCAACTTGCCTACAATGTTTTCTTTATTAAAAATCCATTGTGGCCTTCTTCACATTAATATTTCTGCTTCATTTGAGTTTCTACCACTGTTATTTTGCAATGCTTTCCTGACCTACCTTGGTGATCAAATACCCTTTAATCAATGCAGCTCTGATTTTATCAGCCTGATCATTTGCTCTTAAACAAACACAATATCCCAGCCAAAAGGATTTGATTAAGCTTGTACATGGAAATATAACATGAGCTTATATTATCCTCAGTTTACTGAGAGCAAAAGCATAGTGCTTAGTGGGCATTTATTTGAGACTTAAAGCATCAGTGTTGGAGAGGGACAAGTTTAGCTTTATAATTATGCTGTGCTCTACCTAGATAAAGATGAGTGTATAGATTTACACGAGAGAAATACGTATAGATGTACTCATGAGAGAAAGGAGCATGTATGACATGCTAATTATATTGCCTAATGCCATTCAGAAAGGTGCTTAGATACTGTAGCGATGGAGCGGTATAAGAACAGAGTTTTGCAATGATGTTTTTTATTGCCTGAGAATGCCTCAAGCAGTGCGAATAGGACTTCGGAGGTAGATTCAAAGAATAAAATTTTCAATCTTCCTAGCTCTAACCTCAGTAAATATTTTTTCTCATAGAACAAGGTGAGAAGGAGGATAAGCTGCTGATGCCAGCTATTGATGAAAAGCATATTTGTTCTGAAATCACTCTCAAAACAGCTGTCTCTGATGAGGATTGTGGTCTTCCTTTGGTGAGCAAGAGCGACTGTCAGCAGCAGTTTGTCTTTTACAGGATGAGATTCCCATTCAGAAATTAAAATTCTGTGATCGTGTGGAGTTTAAATTCTTGTTCCTTACGATCTGCCACTGTCTGTGGGGCACCATGCCTCACCCCTCATTCCTTCCCAGCAAACACACGGTTGTTCCGTTGTGCTCTGGGAAACCCACGTTGAAGAATTTTCATTTCACGAGGATGGTAGTAATCACTCTTCATGGAGTTTTCCAGACTTACGTGGAGTGTCATTCATGAATAGGGCCTTTAGCGAGACAGTTGGGCTTTTCTGACTCTAATGGTAAGAATGTCTTCAACGAACAAGAGTACAATTGTTCCTCAAGTTTTTGCTCTTTAGTATTTTTATTCTCATTACATGACCTTTCTTCTTAACTTTTGGTCTGGTGGACCCTTAGCCGCATGTTGTGTGCATGTCTGAGATGATATGTTTATGGGATCCTTTCTCCTTCCTTATCTTACTAATCAGATTGTTCATGGCCCGTGATTCTAAGATTGACTGCGCTTTAGGAATGTAGAAATGGAGATGTCACCTCTGTTGCATGATGTTTGGTTGTGTCCCATAGCTTGTGGAGTTCTCGATAAATGGCTCAATATAAGCTCTGTGCTACTTATCTCAGGTAAAGGATGCACATATTGAGACTGCAGCACCTAGACAAGCAACTAAAACATGCTACCTTGAAATGTTTTCAGCTAGCTCATTAGAATAAATGCAATATTCCTGTGAACCTCCATGGTTAGCCTTTTATTTGGCTTGTTATGAACTATCACTAAGAAATGCAGTAAAAAAGTTAAAAGCTGTTTGAAAAAGAGTAAACAATTCACTTTCTTGTAGAGTGAGATCCTGAAGTTAAATTCTTACACTCTGACACTGGATAAAGTACTAGCGAACTCAGGGTTCACATTGGGTAAGAGCTTGACAGCTGATTGATTTTTAAATTTTGAAAGCGTTCTGTCTTTAAAGAAATGAAATCATGTTTTGAATACATCTTTGTTTTTAACTATAGATCAAAACAATCGACCATCACTTAACCAGAAAGTTTGAAAGGGATGAAGCAGTGGGTATAAGAATTTCCCAGTTATTTTTTATAGATGACGTGTACTACTGGTGGATGGATAACACCAAGTTACTTTTAAGGAACAAGGAGAACGGAAAGGAGCCTTGTCCCTATATGTAATTTTTTACTGTTTTTCATTGTATCATTAATACCTTAGCAGGTAACACAAGCCACTTGGCAAATGCTATGACAGCTTCACAAACAATTTGATCATATTTTTTCTTTCACCTTAGATGTGCGTTTAGTCCTTCACAGTCCTTAGGGATACTCTCTAATTGTTGAACGTTGTTAACTTGAAGCAAAAATAGGTAGAGAAACTCACAGAGAGGAAACTACATTTTCATACAATGAGTTTCCAAATTCATTGAGAACTGCAGGCTGCTGAGTAGGGAATTTTGCTGGCCTGTCATAGCGCACTGCCTCTGAAGGCATCTGTCAAGTGACCCAGCCTTTTCTTTCTTAGAGATGGTCTTTAAAGGAAGAAAACTTGCAAGCATGACTTAGGAGGCTTGTACCACCATCACTCCTCTTACTCATCCAGCCTGATCTGAGGCTAATGAATAAAGTTGAATCTCCAACATCATCTATCTTGTTCCTTCTGGAGAATTAAAATTCGAGCCAAGTAAAGCAGAATCCGTAGACATGCTGCATATCAGTAGGTGTTGTGCTGTTGGGATTGAGTTAGCTTATACATGAACCCAGGGAGTTAGTCTCAGAGCGTCTGTGGGATTCCAAATTTTAGTACATGTGCCTACACTCCTACACCTGCTTTGGGCGTCTGATTCTTTAATGTTACTAAGCATGCTAGCCATTCTGCTGTCTGATCTACACAATATTTATAATTTTATCCTTTTACTCTTTTCCCCCAACAGTTTACTGTTGTGCATCATTCCCTTCATATACAAAGCGCGTCTGACAGACCTTGCCTCTTCCTATGACCTTCATACCTCTGAACCTCCTGTTGCCTCTGCTACCCTGATTCTTCTGTTGCCTTCCTTCCTCCCTGCTGGAAAAGAACCTCTTTTTCTGACTGAGATTTTGGCTTCCTTTCTTTTTGAACTCGCACATTCTCTTTTAATTACTATTGATTACTTTTGGCTGTGGTTCATACTCATTTGTGAGACGTATGCTCCAGAACCGAATGCTGTGTTACATAAATCTACATATCAGCCTCAGAAAGATTATCCATACGTTTGTCAGTTCTTTTTCAAAAGATTCTCTTTATTTTGAGCCATGTTTTAATTTGATTTGATGTTTTCAAAGAGTGTGTTTTTGGGACAGGGTGTCTTACTTTCAATACTGTCTAAAGATTTAATGAAAAATTCCTAAAAACATTTTTCATTGTTTTCTGTTAGGCCAGGTATACCATTTTACACTCTCTAATATATTCTGTCTTTCCTTCATGGCATATTTTGTTCATTTGGAACAAAACTACAACTGGGCATGGCTAGTCGAGTTGAAGTGCAAGATTCTTTCTGTATCTTGGCTATCAATCAAGCTGCTGAGAAAAAAAAGAAACAGAAAGATCTGTGGATCTATAAGGGGCCTAAAATGAATACTAAGAACCAGTACCAAATGCACTGATTCATAGGCTTTACTTCTGCTTTCATCCTGCTGCTTAGTATGAGTAATTTTTATCTTGATGCTGGAGACGTCCTATGGAAATCAAGGTGTGTGTTCTATTTCTGTAACAAAAGATGCAAACACTGTTTGCTCAAGATAAATCTTGTTCCACAAGTCTCCTTTTTACAGTTGTACTAGGAATAGTCAGTGGGGTATAATTAAAATATCAGCTATAGGATTGTACTTACCAAAAACTTCTTTGCACTGAAGAAAGTTCTTCATGTGAACAGCCCATAAGATGTGTATTTTTAATCGTTCTGAACTATAAACGTAGGTTTTATGAGTTGCAGCGGTGCACACACCCAGAACTATTCTGACCTCACATGTACTGTGATTTAAGACATTTGTGTTATTTAAATGAGTGAGTTGCAATACATAACTCTAATTTAAATGA